AACCAGAACCGTCATTTGTCAAGAATGAATTTGACGCAGCAAAAAATATTAGGTTAGTTCCGAAATTTCAAGAAAAATCTGTAGACAAATATTTTCCCCAATTCGAAAAAGTCGCAGAGAATCTTAAATGGCCACAACACGTTTGGTCAACAATGTTACAAAGTGTACTGGTTGGCAAAGCAGCTGAGGTATACTCTGCACTAGGGGTAGCTGAAAGTTCAGACTATGAGAAGGTCAAAGCAGCAATATTAAAAGCATATGAATGAGTACCTGAAGAATATAGACAAAAATTCAGAAAGTATAGGAAGTTTGATAATCAAACATTTGTTGAATTTTCACGAGAGAAAGAAGATTTATTCGATCACTGGTTTAGATCTAAGAAACTTGATAAAACTTTTGCTAATTTGTGCCAAGTCATCCTGGTAGAAGAGTTTAAGGAATGTGTTCCTCAAGATTTGAAAACACATTTAGAAGATAAGAATGTGAAAACTCTTGAAGAGGCAGCAGTCATATCTGATACTTATGCTCTGTCTCATAAAAAGAATTTTGTATCAAGATCTCAGACTAGCAGTAATTCTACCAATTCAGACACATATAAAAAGAGTGGTTCAGGGTCTCAGTCTTCCACAAGTCTCCACTCTCCATCACAAGGTGGTTTTAAGTCCGGTCCAGGACGTGTTGAAGGATCTTCTGGAATAGGGTCGCTTCCTACTTGTAGTTATTGTAAGAAAAAAGGTCATCTGATCAGTGAATGCTTTAAACTTAAGAGAAAAAATGATTTTGATAAAACTCAACCACACGCTTGTGCGGCACTTAGAGGTGATAGAGAAGCCTTAGTTTCGATTTGTTCTGACACTCCTGATGTCCAGGGTTCACAGTCCAGTTCTATTGATTCTATGGAGGATTATAAGCCCTTTATGTCTCAGGGATTTGTTTCACTCGGTGACTCTAGCGAAATTAAACCTGTCCAGATTTTGAGAGATACTGGTGCTGCACAGACGTTATTGTCAGAAGGCGTGCTTCCTTTGTCTGAGCAGACTTCTACTGGTGGGTCATTTTTAGTACAGGGTGTGGAGCTAGGCGTCATTGATGTTCCCCTGCATAGAATTTGTTTGAAGTCAGATTTAGTTACTGGACCTGTTACTGTAGGAGTTCGACCTACTCTTCCCGTTCCAGGCATTTCCTTGCTGCTTGGCAACGATTTAGCTGGTGGAAAAGTTGTACCAGATCCTATAGTTTGTGAGAAAATCACTTCAGATGTCATGTGTAATGATGAAGATGATGACATATATCCAGCCTGTGCTGTTACCAGAGCAATGGCCAAAAGACGAGAAATGGAGGCAGACCATACTCAAGCCTTTGACAGTGCAAATTCTTCTACTGATATTGATTTGAATGACACTTTCTTATCTGACCTTGATGGCACTCAAACAAGCATGGAACCACACAATATCAAGAAGTCGGTGACGAATGAACCTTTATCAAAATTTAATGGTGATGAAGATGAGTTAAATCTACCAGAAAGCCAAGGCAAGGATATCATAAGCCGAGAGCAGTTACTTTCAGCACAACATAAAGACCCAGATATCATTCAACTTAGTAAGAGGGCACTTCCACCAGAAGAGACCACTAAAGTTGGAGAATGTTTCTATATGAAAGATGGCATCCTTATGCGAAAATGGCGACCACCTGACGCTTCCCCAGACGAAGTGTGGCGTGTTGTTCACCAAATAGTGGTACCAGCTGCTTATCGTCAAGATGTAGTGAGCTTAGCTCATGATACACCTATGGCAGGTCATTTAGGTGTCAGTAAGACTTATAATAGGATTTTGAGTCATTTTTATTGGCCTAAGCTAAGAAAGGATGTTTCGAAGTTTCGCAAGTCATGTCATGTTTGTTAGATGGTAGGTAAACCGAATCAGAAGATACCATCCGCCCCTCTTCAACCAATTCCAGCTTTTGAAGAACCGTCGAGTCGAGTGTTGGTGGATTGTGTAGGACCTTTGCCTAGGACTAGATCTGGGAACCAGTATTTACTTACCATTATGTGTACATCCACTCGATTTCCTGAAGCCATACCTCTTAGGAATATAAAGGCAAAGAGCATAGTTAAAGCCCTAACCAAGTTTTTCAGTTTTGTAGGAGCACCCAAGGCAATTCAGTCGGATCAAGGCTCAAATTTTATGTCGGGGTTGTTCCAGCAAGTCATGCATGAGTTGGGTATAAGGCAATATAGATCAACTGCTTATCATCCTGAGTCCAAGGGGGCGCTAGAACGTTTTCACCAGACCTTAGAAACAATGCTGAAGACCTATTGTTATCAGTATGAGAAAGACTGGGATGAAGGGGTTCTTCTTGTGCTATTTGCTGCACGAGAAGCAGTCCAGGAGTCTCTTGGGTTCAGTCCTTTTGAATTGGTGTTTGGTCATACAGTTAGAGGACCTTTGAAATTGTTGAAGGAAAAGTGGCTGACTGAGACTAGTGATCTTAATCTTTTAGATTATGTGTCTGATTTCAAAGAAAAAACTTTACAATGCTTGTAAATTAGCACAAGAAAATTTGAAGAATTCTCAGATGAAAATGAAAATGTGGTATGACAAAAATGCCAGAAATAGGAAATTTTGGCTGATTTTGATGCCAAACTTGGACATTTGAACATTCACCAAAAAGAACAAGTTAAAAACTTGATGAATGAGTATCATCAAATCTTTTCGGATGTTCCAAAGAAAACTAATGCAGCTTGTCATGATGTCATAGTGAGTGACGTTCTGCCTATCAAACAACATCCGTACCGTCTGAATCCAATAAAATTGCAGTACCTAAGAAGGGAAGTGCAGTACATGTTGGACAATGACATTGTTGAATCTAGTAAAAGTGATTGGAGGTCACCGTGTATTCTTATACCAAAACAGGACGGTACCTACCGATTATGTACAGACTTTAGAAAGGTGAATTCTGTTACCAAAACTGATTCATATCCAATACCTAGAATCGATGACTGCATTGACAACATTGGAAACGCGAAATTTGTCAGTAAATTTGACCTATTGAAAGGCTACTGGCAAGTACCGTTAACAGAAAGAGCAAAAGAAATATCTGCTTTTGCAACACCAGATGGACTTTACCAGTATAAAGTAATGCCTTTTGGCATGAAAAACGCACCGGCTACATTCCAAAGGATGGTTCACTCCCTTCTTCAAGACCTTGAGGGATGCGAGGCCTACATTGATGATGTCGTCATATACAGCAACACATGGGACGAACATCTCCGAATCATGCGTGCTTTATTTGACATTTTAGCTAAAGCAAACTTAACTGTGAATCTTGAGAAGAGCGAATTTTGTCATGCTTATGTAGAGTATTTAGGTCATAAAGTAGGTCAAGGTTATGTTACACCCATTATGGCTAAAGTGGAAGCTATTGCAAAGTTCCCGATTCCTACAAACAAGAAAGAATTAATGAGGTTTTTGGGCATGGCTGGGTTTTACAGAAAATTTTGTCCAATATTTTCCTCAGTTATTAGTCCATTTACAAATCTTTTACAAAAGAGGGTTAACTTTAAATGGACAAAGGGCTGTGAAAAATCCTTTCATAAAATCAAATCTGTCCTTATGAGCAACCCAGTTCTGTCAACTCCAGATTTTTCTAAGCAATTTAAGCTTACTGTTGATGCTAGTGATGTTGGAATCGGGGCAGCTTTGTTTCAAGAACATAGTGATAAGGTAGATAGAGTTGTTTCTTATTTTTCAAATAAACATAAAAAATTTCAACAAAAGTATTCCACCAATGAAAAGGAATGCCTTGCTTTGTTGTTAGCCTTACAGCATTTTGATGTTTATCTGAATGTTACTTTGCATCCAATTCTTGTATATACAGATCACAACCCCCTGACATTTTTGCACAAATTGTCAAACAAGAATCAAAGACTGACTAGATGGAGTTTGTTGTTACAAGAATACAACATAACAGTTAAGCATATCAAAGGCAAAGACAATGTTATTGCAGACGCCTTGTCAAGAGTATCGTAAACATACTAGATTTTGTATTAATGTACATGTTTTACAACTTAAGTTTTTCATTGACATTCAAACTTTTTAAGGGGGGAGGTGTTGTGAGATGTGTATTGTTTCATTATGTATATAATTAGTAACATTAAGTTTCTTGAAAATTCCAGCGTGGTCAACATGTTCGGTCATTTGATCTAGAACATTCTTAAATTTTGTGTATGTCCAGATTGTTCCAGTAATAACATGTTTTAATAATTTCTAGAATTTTCTAGATTTATGATACTATATAAATACCCTGTCAATTCGATGCAAATACAATACTTTGTCGTATAAGCACTATTTAGATATAAATGGGATATATTTTCACTGGGACATTGTGTGCAGCAACGGACACTCTGATGTATGTATTTTTAGATTCTTGCTAAGTTTGTACTTTATGTTTGATATATTTATTATATATTACTGTAAATAAATTATTGTTAGGTTTAAACTGTGTTATTGATCTTTGCTGGCATTTCGGGTAATTCTGACCCATAACAGTATACATGTATGTGTTTTAATAAGTTTGAATTATAAGGTTTTCTGTAAATGTCGATTTGAATATATAAAGGAAAACTAGAGGCATTGTGAGCAATGAGCTCACTAAATGATGCCCCCGCCTCCCATATGGTTATAATAGCAAAGTCCATGTTTTGCTGTGGCCGGGAAAAACCCAAAATATGTGTCGAATCAAAAAGTAAAATAGGAGGTGAACAATGGTACAATATGTAATAAAGATTCTGAGAAAATTAAATTGTCATTAAATTTCACTGAGTGGTATAAGAGGAGTTGCAGATAAGAGATGGGTACCCCAAAGCGTAACAGACGGACGGAAGGACGTAAACACAGACGGACGGACATACCGATTACAGTATACCCTCTCACTTTTCAAGCGGGGGGCATAATAAACGAAAACGATGTAATCTGCATAGAACTATTTGTGATCGATCTTACCTATCACTCAAAATAGTTGACTGGGAAATTTTTTCAATATCGTCACAAAGCTTGTGTCCTCTGCCATTTCGTTGTTTGAGATGATGTGTAGCACATTCCTGGCATAGTGGTTCGGGTTCATCACAATCAAGACAAAAATGTGTAGCAATGTGGTTCTCTTTCTCAAAAGAACAAGGCTCGCAGTACAACACCTTTGCCCCTTTAACTAAATCAGTTTTGATTTTTTCTAACTCGTAACAAATTTGATGATTCCGGAAAATTTTTTGTTTTAAATGCATAGTTATACAGTTTTTGCACAAAGGCTCTGGCTCATCACAATTAAGACAAAATCCAATAGCTGTGGACGTAATGTCATTAAATGCACAATTTTCACATAGTGGATCGTTCTCTATTCGTTTACTTCGAAGAAGCTTTTCAAGATCGCTACAAAGTTTGTGATTACGTGTTTTTCTCTCTCGAGTATGCTGCGTTGCACATGTTGAGCACATCGGTTCAGGTTCATTGCAGGTTTGACAGAATGAAGTGGCATTGTTACTTTCATTCTCATATTTACAGGGAATGCATTTGACAGAGAATTTATCATCGTCCACTTGACTCTCGGTTTCTTCATTTTTTGGTGGCAAACCAGGGCAAAGACTGTGCGTTGAAAAAGCTTTCTCGTGTTTTTTGGAACATCTTTCGCAGAGAGGAAGCAAAGGTTTACAGGTTTGGCAGAAGGAATGTGCCTCAATTATATCGGACCCACTGCAGACACCACAAAGGGGCCTTGATTTACTTTCAAGGATTAAGGCATGCGTTGTGATATCCAGCCATGCATGGTCAATCAGTACGTCGGATTGATGACGGATTCTACATTCGTTGCAAAAATCAAAGTTGCAGGAATGACAGTGATAAGAAGCACTTATTTTGCATTTGGCGCAAGGAAACTTATCGCCTAGAAATTGTAGCAAGGGTAATATCTGATGGACATCTTTCCCGGCTTCTAACCCATGAGATTTAGAGCAAACAGAACACAGCTTTTCTTTACAAGTAATGCAAACGTTCTGAACTTCAGAGTTGTGTTCAGTGCAGACATCGCTGTTTCCTTTGAGAATCAATTTATTCTAAATGAACAAAAATCATTATTATCAAATCTATCATTTGAAACCAGTCGCCATTGAATTTAGAACAGAATTAAACAAATAAAAACTTATTCAAAACGGTAACATTCATAAGGTTTAAAGTACTTTGTTCAGTTTTTTAAAGTCTGCTAAGTTTTTACCCCACTTTTTACGACGAATGTTCAACGTCGATGACCAACTGAGGAACAAACTAACAACGTAATATTTCCTGATTTTCTTTTTCCTTATAAACTTAATTGGGTAAACATTAAGAGTACGACAGGAATAGTTTGGAACTTTGATTACCTTCTTATCGAGTAAATCTGGGATTTGAACTTGTCCTATACCAACCATTTGATTTCCATTGTTTTCATCTTCAATTTCCACCAATTCGGTTTTCAGAGTTTCCCATTTTTCCAGAGTCTCCCGGGGAACATTTTCTTTTTTATTTTCATTTTCCTCAAGAATATCTGTTTTTGACTTCATAAGTAGTATGATACCAGAGGAAGAATAACAAATAATTATTTCATTTAAATACGGCACAGGTATAGGAATTAGATATAGGCCATTTTAACTGCATGCACATATAAATTATATATCTTGAAGACTTGTTAGCTCACCTGAGCCGAAGGCTCAAGTGAGCTTTTCTGATCACATTTTGTCCGGCGTCCGTCTGTCTGTCCGTCTGTCTGTCTGTAAACTTTTCACATTTTCGACTTCTTCTCTAGAACCGCTGGGCCAATTTCAACCAAACTTGCCACGAAGTATCCTTGGGTGAAGGGGATTCAAGTTTGTTCAAATGAAGGGCCACGCCCTCATTCAAGGGGAGATAATTGGGAATTAATGAAAATTAGGTGGTATGTTTTAAAAATCTTCTTCTCAAGAACCACTGTGCCAGGAAAGATGAAACTTATGGGGAAACATCCTCAGGTAGTTTAGATTCAAGTTTGTTCAAATCATGACCCCCGGGGGTAGGGCGGGGTCACAATGGCCGACCGAAGTTTTACATAGAAATATATAGGAAAATTCTTTAAAAATCTTCTTCTCAAGAATAACAAAGCCATAATTGATCATATTTATATGGAAGCATCCTCAGATAGTGTAGATTCAAGTTTGTTCAAATCATGACCCCCGGGGGTAGGGCGGGGCCAAACTGGCCAACCAAAGTTTTACATAGAAATATATAGGAAAATTCTTTAAAAATCTTCTTCTCAAGAATAGCAAAGCCATGATTGGTCATGGGACTACTTTTGGATTTAAACTTTTCAATAATAAACCAATTTCTATTTTTTCCAAGCCACAGTGCTTAGGTGAGCGATGTGGCCCATGGGCCTCTTGTTTTTAACTTTATATCATTATCTAACAAATACACATGAATTTCTTAAATGAATTATACCAAATCGATGTTAATTTTGACCAATACACAAAGATATCAATGTTTGATTATTAAAAGAAAAACTCACAGTATCTTCACAACGATCATCAGACATGCTGGAATTGTCTATTTTTCTAAAAAACTCACAATTGTCTTCCTTTGACCTAAATACATAATTATAATTTTTTAAAGCGAGGCGTACACATATCCAACAAAAGTATTATAAACAACTTTTGGGATGAAAAAAATGTTCAAAAAGAGATTTTTTTTAAAAACGTGAATTCTCTTCAGTTCTTTTTGCATGGTTTACGACAAGTCACCTGAGTCACTCAGGTGACCTATTGCTCTCTATTTTTGTCTGTCGTCCTTCGACTTGCGTCGTCCGTGAGGACTTTGAACATTTTCAGTCTCTTCTCAACTCCTGAACCAGTTAAAGCAAATATTAGATATTACATGTAGATTTTACAAATTGCAGGCAAATAAAAATGTGAATTCCATAGTCTCTTTCTTTTTTTACTCCTGTTCATTAAACAGACGAGCTTTTGGCATCATTGTAAGAAACATGGGCCCTATACCAGAATTGTGAAATTTATGGTCCCAGGATCAAGAGTTCTGGTGTTCAAGCGGAGTTCTATTGTTCATATAGTGTATATGAATAAATTCTTCAAATATATAACTATTTTTCTCTGCTTTTGGATATTTAGCAGACAAACCAAAAACATAATTTTAATGAGAAGGAAGTCTTTGTTGTGTAATTGGAGAAAATGCTCGAATGCTTTAAAAACTCTTTTTTACCACACCACAGTAAATACCATAGAAACGAAGAGCTTGGTAATGATAAGTACATACTAATTTTGAGCTGCACAATGGTATTATGTAAATAAAGAATCCGTGTTATCATTAATTTTATTCAGTAGTTGCTTATCTGATTGAATGATAAGTAAAGGATGCATGATCAACAATTTTATAATTTTTAGCCACAGAGTCAGGGGTACTGGCGTTATTAGAACGAGTCACTCTTGTAATCATGTATGGAAAAATTTTGAGTTTTTTAACGGTTGATAGAATTCTGTAGATTAAGCACACATTTGTGATTGAAATGATTGAGAAGGGAAGATTTACTCATATTTCTAGGGAGAATACATTTAACTTTTGTTGTCAAATGGAGTTTGAATATGAGTACCATTTTATTTCAAAATGTCAACTGTATCATAAACTTGTACAGGGTGTATCTTGGTATATACTTAGCATGTATAAACTATTACAATCATTATCAACTGAAAATGTGTGTGAACAGTAATAAAGTGAAATTCCCCCAAAAAGCAGAAGTACTTAGAGATTCACATCTGTAAACTGGGGATTTTTAAAAATGTTTTGTAGGAAATATTGTACAAAAGCGATGTTATCTTAAAGTACAGCTCTCGTATATGAAAATATTTTATTTATGTATATTCCTTCTGTGAATTACATCCTGTATTTTGTGAATATGTTATCTGACTACCGTATGTTAATGGTCTTTTTGTAATTTTGCATTTACTTAACAACCCAGGAAATAAAAAAAATGATACAATATGACATTATATGGTATTGACCCGGAAGAGCACGTGTAGGTCAATATAACGTAGTATTTTTCAAACATTGTTGGATCTCAGCCAATCAGAGATGGGGATATTATTCCATCATTTAATAATTATACAGTATTTATTGCCCTGTATTTAGAGTAGAAATTATTGTATATAAAAATATTTCAGTGTCCAACTTGATTTTAAAAAGCATTTTATGCCGAATAGAATTTATTTTTTTACCGTAATAAAACCAACAACTTTTTTTATATACTTAATACAGTTTCCAAAAAAGCGTATCTTTTAGGCCTAATCAAGTTTCTATATTTATAGGTTTTTCACATTGTTATGTATACACACTGAACTGTGCACTACCATGTTATTATTGTATGTGCTTCCAGGTAATCAAAGCGAAAATGAGAAGTCACCCGAAATCGTTTTTTAAAAGTCGACTTATTTCTTATGAATAAGAAATTTGAATTATACATATAGGTCAAAATCGCTTCCTCGAATCAATGGATTCTTGACAAGGTTTTACTTTTTTATAGTACGAATTGGCAAGGATTTACTCAACTTTATTAACCTTTACCCTTGGTACACAGGCACCTGACGTTACTTATTTTTCTTTTAATAAAAAAAAAAATACTGTTACCTTATCACAGGAACCTGACGTTACTTATTTTTCTTTTAATAAAATAAATATACCCTTACCTTATAATAAACGTAATTTATCAACATTGGAACATGAACAAAATATTTTTTCAATATTTAGAAAAATTCCATTTAAACAAATGCATTTATTTTGAGGTCAACCTTGAATAATTTCCTTATCTTTCTTGCATGAAAATGAAAGTAAATTCAAATTTATGACTGCACTGTCTGCGATAAAAAAAATACATCATATGCAGATTTCATAGTCTGCAGAATCAAAATTATTTTTTTCCCCTGAAACAACGTTAATCTTGCCAAAAATGTCTTGCTGATACATATATAAGATTTGAAACTTTTGACCTCTATAGATTAAAAAAAGTATTTGAATGTTTAATTTTTGTTTAAATAATTTTTTGTCCAGTAGAATTTCACGTCATGCTTACCGTGTAAACATCTACATGTATAAAACTTTGTTTCTAAAAAAAAAAAAAAAAAAAACTGACTTAAATATCATAATATCTAGGCCTAGTATCTGAATACAAAAAATTACCCAAACGATTAGAATGCCAAGGAAAATTAAAGTCTTACCACAGAAAATCTATGTCCAATCGGGATTATAAATGGATTCACATATAATGTGTTTTCAACAAAATGCTGTCAAAAGTTTTCATTGTTTATGCACAGTCATCCGACGGGTATACTTCCACGTAATTTTTGTATGCGCACGCAATTTTGTGCTTCCAAGTAATTAAAGCGAAAATGCAAAGTCACCGGAAATCGTTTTTTGAAAATCGATTAATTTTTTACAAATTATTGTTTTATGAAATTAATTATCTGATTTAAATTAAGTCAAAATCGCCTCCTCGAATCAATATCGTTTTGTTGTATATAAAACGACTGAAGGAACGCTATTTGTCATCGCTTACCGATTACAGTCTGAAAACCAACCAATTATTTGCGTCATCTTATATTCACACTATTCGTAAGTTTAAAATCAATCCGCGTCGATTGATTTTCACGAATATGAGTAACCGAGCAGCAAGACAGACGTTTTCATTTATTAAGGATATAAGGCATTGATCTATAATAAACAAAGCATATAATAAGTCAAAATTACAGAAAATATGAAAATAACACGAGATAATTTACCTACAGTAAACGTTAAAAAGAAATGAACTCTATGAAAAAATGTGTACTGAAAACATATTCAAATTGAAATCTTACAGACTAATTATTTAATTATGTTACAATTTTGAATTGTTTACAGTATACATTATTTGTTGCACGCAAATAAAAGTTGGTTTACAGTATACATGTATAAAATATAAAGTAAACTAAAACGCCCTTGGTAACTGCCACTAAAACTGAAAGCAACAGAAGTGGGTTTTCCAACTATAGTTGTCCAGTGACAGTCTAGAAATGTCAGAAACTGCAAAAAACTTGTTCTCGCAAGACTTTCCGTGTAATTCAGGGACATCTTTATATAATTACTTTCATATATAGCTTAATTGTTATAAACCTACTACTAATACTCAGTACACTGCAGTACAACTGTCGCTCCCCGTCATTCGACAAATATTTTGGTGTACTGTATCTGATACTAACGTGAACAGATATCAAAATCAATATCAATTTTTAAGCCAATACTGTTTCTCTTTCGCATTTTGTATGGTCAGAAGCTGGCTTTTGGCTATTCTTTTGGTAAGTGTAGCACTTTTTTTCCTTTTCTGCCACTGTTAGCCTCAACTTCCATTGTATAAACGGTATGGTTTACAAAAGATGTGTATACCTTTGTAAACACTATGTTGTAAAGAAATCTCAGAATTATTGCTCAAATTTCCAATTTTGATATGAAAAGGTGAAGATAACGAACAGCGATCGATCCTAAAGAAAAATCTTTGAAACAATTGATTTTTCTTAACACACAAACAAACGGAAATATTGAATATTTGGGCAACATTGTTCGCCAGAAAATAAAAAAAATATTCCAATCGCGGAAAAATGTCCAGAATATCTTTATTTTTTTTCAATATTCACAATTATTTAATCATTATAATTTAATTCTATTATTTAAGATTTAAAATATAGATCCGATTGCTTTGTGGTTTTTACTTTTAATCTTTTATTTTACAATTTTTTTTTTTAATAAACAGTTTTTCTTGATGATTTTTCCTTCAACAGATGACGGTTAATTAAGATACGAAAAACGTGATGTTGATCCTGATTACTAAACCCAGACATCCTGTATATGATGCAACGTGAATATAGATATCTGACAACTTGGGTATTGAGGGTCTCCAGGTAAATAGCACCACTGTTACTGAGACACCCCCCCCCCCTCCTCAGGTAACCGTACAGTAAACAAATTGAGTTTTAAGCCTAATAATTCAACAGCTAAACAATTTGGAATAATTCCGAAATGGTGATTTTTTCATCCAGATTTTTTCTAGCCAAGACTCATAGAACTCTTTTTTTTTTACCATTTTAAAATAACTAAACCCACAGAATGAGTGTAAAGTGTAAAACATAAAGATAACGAACAGTGATCGATGTAGAATAAACCGATACACAAAACAAAATATAAAGAGGGATAAACCCTAGGTGCCTAGGAGGAGTAAACTGTTGACATATCTTAACATTACAGACTTGTTGGATGATCTTTAATTTATTGCTCTATCAGCATCGAATATAGGCGATCAAAGTTTACAGGAGTGAAACTCTAGGAAGAAAAGTCTTCTTGGGCAAGTATGAAGTTAGTATTTCTATGAATTGAATTTGACACACAAATCGGGAGTAGGAATTCGATGCAGCGCGAGAAAGAAGAAAAAAATACAGTATAGTTAAACGAATATTACGTCTAAGAGAACTTCGGTCTTTAGTAGAAATCCTAAATTTTGTTTGTTTGGTGGTTGCCAGAGCATTATTATATACCTAACATGTATTGAGATCACTCAATTTTACTGTAGAATTAACGCAATCACGTGTCGTTGTGATCCGACTTTCCGGATCACCACACTGTGGTTTTCTGAATCCATATCACGACTCTCTGAAACTGATGACGTAGTACGCAAAAACATGACGTTATTATTCTTGCGCGTTTAAAAGTCCATTGTAATTATGCTTTGTTTTATCGATATTATACAATTGATTTTTAAAAGTTTTATTATGCCATTTTTAGCTAGTTATAAGGGGGTGTATAATAAATTTATCATTATAACGTAACTTGATCCGAAGAACCGTGTCACGTCTTTTTGACTGGCGCGGATCATCATATCAAACTCGACGCTTCGCGTCTCGTTAGATCTGATGATCCGCGCCTGTCAACTCGACGTGACGACTCTTCGGATCAAGTTGCTGTTATAATAATATATATTTATTATATACCCATCAATTTCCTTGTTTTTGTTACTGTTAATTTTACAGAGTTTGATCCGATTTTCCGGATCACCACACTGTAGTTTTCTGAATCCATATCACCACTCTCTGAAACTGATGACGTAGTACACAAAAACATGACGTTATTTTTCTTGCGCGTTAAAAAGTCCCTTGTTATTATGCTTTGTTTTATGAATAAATATTATACAATTGATCTATAAAGTTTTATTCTGCTATATTTAGCTAGTTATAAGGGGGTATATAATAAAGTTATCATTATAACAGTAACTTGATCCGAAGAGCCGTATCACGTCTTGTTGACAGGCGCGGATCATCAGATCAAACTCGACGCTTCGCGTCTCGTTAGATCTGATGATCCGCACCTGTCAACTCGACGTGATACGACCCTTCGGATCAAGTTACTGTTATAATAATATATATTTATTATATACCTAACGTGTATCACTCAGTTTTACCGTTAACTTTACGCTATCACGTGACGTCGTGATCCGACTTTCCGGATCACCACACTGTGGTTTTCTGAATCCATATCACCACTCTCTGAAACTGATGACGTAGTACGCAGAAACATGACGTTATTTTTCTTGCGCGTTAAAAAGTCCCTTGTTATTGTGCTTTGTTTAATGGATTAATATTATACAATTCATCTCTAAAGTTTTATTTTGATATATTACTGTTATAATTAAGGAATGAAGCTTATTTCAATTTATGTTATCCGATATAACATAACTTGGGGCAGTTTACGCTTTATAAACCGCGAAGAGGTTTATAAATAAGCGTAAACTGCCCCAAGTTTTGTTATATCGGATAACATAAGTTGGAATAAGCTTCATTTCTTATAATTTAATTTCAATGTAGACAATGAGACAATATTTCCTCCAGAAAAAGGCTTCAAAGTGAGCATTATTTTAAAAGTAACGTCAAGCGGAGTGATACGTTTTTGACGTAACTCATTGTGACGTAGGCAAGTTATGTTATACGAAATGGAAAAAACGTTTAACCAATCAAATGACGCGTTGCAACTGAAATTAAATTATTAATATATATATATATATATATATATATATATATATATATATATATATATATATATATATATATATATATATATATATATATATATATATATATATCAATTATAAGGAGGTTGATCCCTGTTATCAAAAGTATTGAGAATATTTTGTCGAGTACATTTCAAGAATCTACTCAAACAGCTAAATAAAATATCAAAACAAAAATAAGGGTTATTGCGCTTCTTTTAGCACTACGGATCGATAGGTTTGCCTTTTTGCACTGTTATAACGTCTAACATTAATTTAAAAATATAATTTTTCCTTTAACACAACACTTTGATCCAAATTCATTATTAGTTCAAACACAGTCTTTTTCCATGTTTTAAAAACAGTCACATTAAAAATTGTGACAACAAAAACATCTTCAAATTACTTTGCATAGTCAATTACTTGGCCTTTCTGCACTCAAAAATGTTATTTTTCTGGTGTTAAAAATTAAAAAAAAGCAATAAAATCAATTAAAAAATTGAAAAAAGAACTTTTGGATAATTTGCAATCACAAGTTCAACAGCTTAAAAACTTCATACACAACCATTCCCCACGATGAGTTAAAGTCCAGGTATAGGAGTATGGAACTCGTATGGGCCTCGTAAATTTACTTACCTTGTCACTGGTCATTTGCAAAATTATTTTGTTAAAAGCATTCTGATTGTACACAAAAGTACTCCGAAGTCGACATCAAAAAGATTCTTGGGTTTCTGATTGACAATATGTTTGATTTTTTTTTTTTTTGAGACTAGGTATTCCAACAATCTATTGGAATTCCCATGGATACCATTTGCGGCCCGTTATTAACAGACCCTTTTTGTATTCATAAGAAGTAAAATTTGTCCACAATCTTATACGTGAGAAGAAAACACTCGCTGTGGCCTTCAAATCGACATTTATATATCTCAGTTGATTCGATACGGAAGAGCACGCTCTACGTATGAACAATTTCTACAACGAAGTAAATTATTTACAAACAAGTTGATGAAATAAGAATGTCAACCTGTCAGTCTCGTTTGAAGTCATCATTTCGTAAGTTCTTTGGTCGATACAATGACCTTGTCAGCAAATACAACTTATCATTGAGTCAAACGCTAACTGACGTTTTTCATACTAGTTGTTGGTCTATTATTTATACACTGTATTGACGACGGATTGTTTCGTCATTTCCCGATCATGCCAAGGAGCACACGGCGGATGTGACGGGTCGACAGGAGATGCTCACTCTTCCATGACACCTGGTCCCACCTGTAATGTTTTGATGGTTCAGTTCTGCTACTATTTTTTTTATAATTGTTTTATGAATTTTTTATCTTAAATACTGTTCGATATCTCCATATGTTTCAGGGTATTTTCATTGCAATTAAAATCATGTCAATTTAAAAGGGAAGATATAACACTTCATTTAATTGCAAATAACACTACACTAACAGTAACACTTCAACAATATATGTAGTAGTTCTTGTTCGATGCATCTTATAAGAAGCAACTAAGATTTAAGATGTTGAAAAAAGTCAGATTATTTTAATCTAAGCAACACTGGCTGATAACTTCAGGCTACTTCTCCAATCCACTTTTACACCATATTAATTCCGTGAGCTACAACGCCTTCATTTCTTCCCTTTACCGGACGACACGTCTTAATTTTACGCCTTCCTCGAAACTTGCGCCGACTGCGCTAGTAATATCACTCCGACTGCTGCGAAAATGTTGATCAAAATCTTTAATTGTATAACCCGGGTGTCTCTCCGACTCTTCAGCTTGGATCATCAGATCTATGTGCTCAACTGTAGTGAGTGCCTCAGGTCGTAATGCGATCTCTCTCAGTCTGGTCTTGCAGCGATTCATCTCATTCATCATATCCATGATGTTGTCCATTAGCTCGTCAACGTCCATCGTTAATTCTTTTATATACTTCTCATGCGTTAGCTTTTCACCGATTGCTTTCTCGTACCGATCTTTCATTTCTTGGTAGGTTTTAGTAACCGTTTCGGTTACGTATGAAAATATGTATGGGGTGTTTTTGTGTTGATCCCAATAACAATGATCAAAGCAGACTCTGCAATAGCCATCTTTCATTGAAGAGCATTTCCTCTTCTGATCATCATCTCTGATATGACAGTCTTCATGATAGGTCACGTTACACTGTAGGCAGTTGGTAACAGCCTGGCTGCTAGGCAAATTTTTTTTTGATCAGTCTAGTCTCCTCCTCTTCATACGTGAAATCCTTATTACTTTCAGTATCATTTTTGTGCCGATTGAATAGATCCAAATGTTCCCGCTTTTTTTGGATCCGATGCTGCAGATGATTGTTTTCAACTGTTCTCTTTCATGCAAGACATCTTGTGTTTGTGACAAGATTCTTGTTTCGAATCTCCTCATATGTCTGTAGAATGCCTCGAAACTTTTGCAGCCCATTTCCCAGAAAAAAGGGGACAGAGGTGCTTCTTCATCCTCGAGTTTCACAAGAGTAAATCGGAAAGGATCTTCGAAGCTTACACCCATCACATGACATACGATTCCATCCACCAGTGTGGTCTTACCTGATCCGGTAGATCCTACTAACATGGTATTTTTCTCCACTTCACGATTTCCTCTATTTGTAATGTCACATTCATTGACAATCAATAAAATTAAACATTGTCTAGGAACACGCCAGTAGATCAAAATACGAAAATTATTAACAAAAACGTTCTGTGGTTTACCCAAGCATATTTGACGTATCTTGTAGTGCTGATTTCTTGCCCTTAAATTTTCAGTGAATGGCAGATCAAACTGCAAGTGTGATCACTATTGCGTCGTCAGCTAACTGATAATCAGATCGCCGACGGAAACTACGTATTATTTCGTCGTCATCGTCACTGCCATGTCTGCCCAAAAGGTTTTCATTTTCCATTAAATATTCGTCATCAGTGTTCCTCCCACAGACATCTGTTTCGTCCCCTTGGCCTAACTGAACATTTCTCCTATGTTCAATTAGAAATACTTAAGGATCCGGCGAAGTAGCAACCTCCATTTTTAACTATTAAAACAGTAACAGGAACATATACATCGCTATTTACAAATAGATTTTCTATTCTCCACCACTCGACAGTCCGCAATCCACTCTACTTCAGTATTTGACAGGTATTCAGGTTCGTATCCTATATGTCCTCGTAGATTACAGGACATCCCACTTCTGACACCAAAAATTGTAAGCTTCCTTAGCACCCTGTCAAATGCCAATGAGTATAAGTCCTAGCTGTAGTGTAGATAACGCCCATTTCGTAGGTATATTAAGCTATAATAAATTTAACATCTCTGACCTAATAAAATACAGTGGATTGCGGTGTCCGTGCGGTGGAGAAACTATACCTTACTTAACGAGGCCCAATCTAGTTGGAAATTACGAAAACGGAATGATAGCCCAATCTAGTTGGAAATTACGAGAACGGAATGATAAAAAATTTTGATTCTTGGAAATAAATTTGTATGTATTATGCTAAGAAAAATTAAAATGAAATTTTGTTACCTTGCCTTTATTGTAGTCAAATGGGGGCACTTTCAAGATATGGACCATTTTTCGTGTTTTTATACACAATTATATACTAAATCTCCACAATAAACAAAGAAATTGACAAATTAAAAAAGAAATATATGATGAAATGTTTTGATTTTCACATATATCATGCAATTTGCATCCCTCTTTTAAAAAATGAAAAGAAAATCGGAGGTAGCCTTTATTGCAGTGGAAAGGGGGCATATCAAAACACAAAAATAGGACTTATTTTATCCATCTAGATATTTTATAAGTTGCAATAGGTTTACAAACATCAAAAAACGTATTAGTTTCTAAAAATTAAATCATTCTTACATTATGACATAATTTTTTCTTTATGCTCAATAAAAAATGGTGAGTATAAACACTTCAACATGTTTGAGGAGAAAGACTAAGATCGTTTACTTTTGGTTGCAGTGAGATTTTTTTTCTAACTCACAAATTGAAATAAAACAAAGTAAAACTAATGTATCCATACCAAGAAATTGTTACCTCAAAATAAATTATGTTTCAAAGTTGTTTATTAATTTAAAAATATATTTTCTAATGGCATGTAAGTAATAAAAATGCCAGAATGAGCCAGATTTCAACAAGCAGTCTATAGAACAAGATCAGCGAAACATTTTAGCGCAATTTGACGTCATTTTAATTGTGACGTTATTGTATTCAATTGTGACGGCAGTCCAGGGTACTGTGACGTGCCTGAGTCGACGCTGCGTTAAAACGTATGCGCAGATCAAGTAGATCGGGTCTCGTTAATTTGTATTAAAGTTTACATTTTTTTCTCATGCCTAAGTCGCTAGTAATTCACAGCTTACATACAGTCAGTGATGTTGATGACGTATCATGGTCTGATGATCGTTATGATCGTTATGATGAAACTGACGTTCGCTGCTCGTATATAGAAAACAATGTCGCTGAAAATGTCCTTTCTACATGTGAGGTGGGAGCTAGAAGTTCTATTTGATATACATAATAAAATTAGTTCAACAAACAATCTGTAATAAAACGGACACACACAATCCACGGCGTAGTAATACCGAACAATAATACACACACATAAGTATTACGCTACACAATCAAGTTCCAAAACATTTCTTAAAATAAAACATAATTAAATGACAATACTGCAATAAAATAACATGTAAGTACCAATAACAAGCATTTGATGACATGGACAGTGTTATTTTGATCTTATCAATTGTAAAACGACAATGTTTATGCCACTTGACTATTTTCTTCGTAAGAAAGATGGCAGGCGCCCACTTTACAACTCATGTGATTAAGTAAATTACAGTCGTAATATGGTAGATAATGATGAAAAACTGACGTATAACATCTTAGTATCGCTGTCCCTTACTATCTATTCAACAATATTTCACTAGATTGTCTAGTAGTACAAAAACTTTGTACAAAAAATTTGTTTACATAAATGTTGAAGTGCAATGTGTATAATGCATCAATAATTCAAGTAAACGATAAAAATAACGTGAACAATAAAACATTTCTAATAATTTACAACTGGATGCTACTTTACATCACTTAAAGACACTCCACCATCAGCCTCACGGTGATTAATATGCAATATTCTAAAGTCCAACCCCCACGCATATAACAGTATCTTCATTCAATATTGTACAACTTGTTAATCATGCGTTTGATTAAGTGTGGCCGGCATTGCTTCTTGCTTCGACTTAAAAAATTGCATGCTCTGTGACAGTCTATGACCTCTTCCAGCCTTTTGTCGTACATGTTGTTGTCCACACGGATAACAAAATGGCTCTGGATCTTGACAATCAAGACAAAACTGAGTAGCGGGCACGTGTGTACCTTCAAACTGGCAAGGTTCACAGGGTTGATCAGATGCTATGTCAATCTTCTCTTGGGTAACATTTTCCTTGCAAGACTTCAATTGTAGATTTTCCATTAAATCTTTTTCAGTTTTGAAGCACTCGTCTAAACGCCTTTAAAGATTAACAAAGTAAAAATTAATGGCATTATCTGTTATCGTATTAGTGTTCCTAGCTTATTTATTTGTGTCTAAAATATAAAACCATTTATTTATTTAATAAATTTAATTTGCAATTAATGAAGCTGAACACAACTGGTTAAACAGGCAAGTAGGCAAACGCCAAGCACCTCTCCGTTATAGTGATTGGTATACCACTTGCATTTATTACACCTGATTGCCCTTAAGAGAAAAATAGCTTTTTTTTTTATTCATGTTTAGCTGTAATGTTATCTTACATCTTTTGTAGCAATTGGGGGTCCTGGGATATATGGTGGTAATGAAATCTCCTAGATTCAGTATGTCGTTTGCAACATTTATAACAAAGTATTTCTGGATCTATACATTCAATGCAGTATCCAAAGCCAGGGATGGCTTCATCTGTGCAAAGCTCGCAGAAGAAAACTTCATCAACCGACACATCTTCCACAAGTTTAATGATGCTATGATCCTTTGTGACTTTTTGTTTCTGATGTCTTTTACTGCACCCTTCACATAATTTTTCTCCGCAGTTGGGTTCTTTGCAAACCATAACAGCCTTTTCATTTTCCCCCACTTCGAAACATATTGTGCACAAAGCATCTTGTCTTCTCTATTTGGAGTAAAGGAAAGTAGAATTAAAACATCAATTAGTTTTGATCATTGTAACATAAATACACGTATGAAGATACAGGGTTCTCTTTGAGCTTTTTTGCTCCTGTTAATATCTTAATTGACAATGCCTCAATTATCACTTGATTCCGAAGGCTTAGTGACTGGAAATCTATTTTAAGTAGTCCTACTGGGGTTTCCATTGCGCAATATTTCGCATCATAGTAAAATGAAGCATATTTATTTTTTTGAAGCATTGTTCGTTTAATTAAGAAAGAAAGAACAGTTTCAAAAAATTAATTACCAATATATATAACTGATTTTTAAAACGTTTTTTCAACTGATAGGTAGATTAACATCGTACAATATAGTATTACGCATCAGTTATCATAATTTAAGCATAAAGTCAATAGTATACATTTATCCACTGGGTGTGAGTGGGATAGCTCTTTTATCAAACCCGCGACAGAGAACTATTCCCCGAGGGCTTGCCCGAGGGGAATAGTTTCTGTCAAAGGTTTGATAAAAGAGTTATCCCACTCACAAACAGTGGATGAGCGTTTTATTGTACTGATGTATAATATAATTTCTGAGGTTTGAATTTTTTTGCAGTAAGATAATACTGCAAGAATAATCTGAAATCCTGATGACGTCACAATGCTACTGAAGTCATTATGACATCATCAGTAGATAGATCTATCGTTGGAAATCAAAATTGGAGGCAAAAATTGCATGAAAATTTTCCGAGGGTGGATAGCAAAAACTATACCCCGGGGTATAGCTTTGCTATGCGTGAACTATAAAAGATAGCTATTTTTACCTTCTGAACTTTATATAGGAAACATTTTAACAGAAGTATAATAATAGTTTTTGTATAATTTGCTATAAAGTGCGAAAATATGCGCTTTCCTATAAACAGTGTACAACTGTAATTCTATAGTAAATATACCTGTATTTTGTAACGGGCATTTAAAATACCAGGACGGTACATTTTCCGAAAACTTGGCATGTACACGAAAGTCTATATAAATATATATGGTATAATGATAAAGAGTTTCTCTATTGTAGTTTACACTTAATAAAATCCCTGTCGGCTCCCTTAAAATTACAAATGAGGAAAATTTCCCTATAGCCAATGCATTTATGACGTCAGGAATTGTGCAATAATTTTTTTAAAAGCTATTTTTCAGTATTTTGTATGTAGCTCAACCTCTTATCAACCTCCTAAATTCGAAGGTAAATAATAATAGAACTCATTTCTGAAAATAATAAAACATGTTTATTTGAATCATTGGTGAGCTCTTAAATGGCTAGTCTTTTCTGAAGGCTCTCAAATCAATTTTTTTTTTTGGGGCAAAATGTAAGAACATTGCATTTTCACATTGCCGGTTTTCGAATACTGGACTCTCAAAGGAAACTTTGTTAAAGGAAATAAAAACATTTAAATTAGTCTCTATTCTATATACATGTTTGAAATTAAAATTAAGAGGTAAGTAAAGATGTAATTTGTTTTTTGTTAAAAACATTCTGATTGTATACTCTAAGGTCGACTTATAAAAATGCTTGAATTTCTGATTGACAATATCTATGTTGTGTTCGGAGACCAGGCCTTCCAACAATCTATTGGAATTTCCGTGGGTACCAATTTCGCCCCGTTATTAGCAGACTTATTTTTGTATTCATATAACAAAGAACTGGTACAAAATCTTGTGCGTGTAAAGAAGAAAACACTTGCTGTGGCACATGGCGTGTGTGACAGGTCGGCAGGGGATGTCATGGCACCTGATCCTACCTCTGATGTTTTTAATGTTTGCTGTGCTCTTATTTTGTATTATTTTATGGACTTTTGATCTTGAATACTGTTCGTTATCTAACCCTAACCTTAACTCTTATGTTTCATTGATTTGGGTATGACAGGGCAATTAATGCATAAAATGAACTTAGTTATTACTTACAATCGCAATCCATTAACAAATATAAAGATGGGCTCACATGATTTTTTAAAATGCATTCAGATCAAAAACTTTTATAAACATTGCTTTTTAAAAGATCCTAACTGAACAAATTATATGATCTTGATTTTTTTTTAAAAAATGCACATACTTCATCTAGCGAGAGATTGGAAAAGCTCAAGTGCTCGTCTGAATCCTTTACGCCACTGGCTCCTTTATCCATAACTGCTGAAAAAAATACATGATTTTGGGGGGAAAATTACTGGTCTAAGTATCATTGTTCCAAAAACAAAAACAAAAAATAAATAAATAAATAAATAAAATATATATAATTCAAAAAGTCGTTTTCTATGGTTTGTAAACCTTTCTTAAAGTATCAGTGTTACCCGAAATACATGTACATATAAAATATGCAATCTAAATTATTCATCTTGTACAATGAAGTGCAAAACTTTTCAGACGTTCTTCTTTGTATGGCAAATGTCAATAAATAGAAAAAAATCCAGAGATAATGACTTGTTCTCATCTATGTTCTAGAACAGGTTTAATTACCACGAAAGTTTTTAAATGGGACATATATAAATAATATCTTTTTATTTTAAAAAAAATAATTAATAGATCTTTCTTTATTCAATTACTTAAGAAATTTATTTTAGAACATTTAAGGTAGGACATAATAGATAAGGCAAATTTTTCCTCAAATTCATTTTTCCTGAAATTTTGATATTTTGTTCTAGGATACAAAATCTCTCTTTATAAATGATATGAAAGAAATTCACCCGCACTTTTTTTGCCTACATAGTTTGAAATATGGCCTATCAGATCCAGGTAAGAAGATTGTGAAATCAGACATTAGACTTGAGAATGAGCTTTATTTTAGAATTATCAATTGATCTACTGCAAATTTTTGGAATACTTTTCATAAAGATATCCTTTTTGTTGCTTTACGTTAACTTAGTATGTCAACTTGATACTTGAAAATTTGAGTAAAATGTAAAGTAAAAATAGAACATACGTAGTGTCGGAATTGAAAATTCACATGTAAATATCCGACAGTTTAAGTTTTTTTAAGAGAAAATATATGATTCCATTTTTAAAAAAAAATCAACAGAATGATTCAAATGAGTCCTAGAATAAAATGTGTACAAATAAAGAGAAATGAACCGGTGGTATCAGATATTTTTGCGATCAAAAAAATTTCAATGGCAAAAAAACTAAAAGATTCAGTAGATGACGTCACAATATTTGACCTTTGACCTCTTGATATGACCTTGACCTTAGTAGTACATAGCGAATGGAGACTCCTTATATATGTTTCTAAATATCATTCCTCTACTATGTATGAAACAAAAGTTACACTGCATTTTATAACAGACTGTCACATGCTTGTTTATTACACTTAGCATAAAAACACTCCAAAATGTAAGCCCCCAGGTGACCAATATATAGGATACTCTGATTTTTTCACAAAATATGATGCAAACATGCCAAAACTTATTATTTTTCTTACAGGGATCGTTCATTGTTGTCACTATAGTAATATTATTCTTCTTTTCTCCAGTACTTTTAAAGAAATGGGTTAAAATAGAATCCACGGGTGTTTTGTCCTACCTTAATGAAGCGTGTTAGCGTGAAGCGTCATATTTCATAAACCTCGTGAATTTTCAAAATTAAATTCATTTCTTGAGTAACGAAAGACATATTTATTACTTGATTTATAAAATAATCATATTTTCATAATTTTGAAAATTGTGTACACAACAACCATTATTATGGTACGCCAAATTCACAAAAATGAGATAAACCTAGTTTCACAGTCGAAAAACTAGGTTTATCGACTGTAAACTATAGTTTACAAACCGTAAACTATAGTTAATGATTCGTTAAGTATAGTTAACGATTCGTTAAGTATAGTTTTCATCTGTAAAACTATATTTAACGGTTGTTAACTATAGTTTACGAATGGTAATCTAAGTTTATCTGTCTGTAATAAGCGTTAACAATAGATTTTGTTGATAAACATAGATTCACGTTTGTATACTATAGTTTACAATCGTAAACTTTAGTTAAGAGTTGTTAATCATAGTTTCACAAATCGTGAAACTATATTTATCAGATCGTTAACTACAGTTAATGGTTTGTAAACTATAGTTTACAAATCGTGAAACTGTATTTATCAGATAATCTATGTTTTGCAATCGCAAATGATTGTTTTCAGTGTTAAGTATAGTTTACGGTTGTGAAACATAGATTATCGCGTTAACTATGGTTTACGGATGTAAAATATAGATTAACATTGTTAACTATAGTTTACAGTCCGTAAAGTATAGTTTACAAAATAAACCTAGTTTATCGACTGTGAAACTATGTTTATCTCATTTTTGTGAATTTGGCGTGCCATAACTATTAATGAGTTTGATATGCAGGTGAGATATAGAATACTTGAGTTATAAAATGTAAAGGATATCACACAATAGAAAGTAACAGATTCAAAATCAAGTTAACACGAGCGTGCAAGCATGTAGACGATGGCTTGATATAATTGTTGATGATGGCGGTTTTAAGATGCTTTAGAATTCCTTTCTTACGTTTACATTAATTTTCTTACGAGTTCCTACACATTGGCACTACATTTTGACGTCAAGTACATTATTATGACGTAAGTCTGTAGATATTCATGCTCAGTTTCGGAATTTCATGCGAAAATTAGATGTTTTTGAATTTGTAAAGAATCAAAGAGGGAAAATTATTAGAAATGTAAATAGATAATAACTACATGTATATACTTACATGTTTACGAATTTAGAGAAGTTGAACAATGATGATTGTTTGTATTAGTTGAAAACTGGAACCCCAAGAATTTTCGAAAATCTTATTTCTTTGAGTGTAAACACATTTTATCCCAACAAACTGCTGCCAACACAACAACAAACAGGTGTGAATAGAATACACGTCATAAGACAAACGAAAGTAAAAAAAAAGGGGGGGGGAGTCAGATGATGATCATCAAATAAATGAAAAAAAGTAGATTTAATATCTACGTTAGGTTCAAACCACGTTTATATTTGTATTAGTTACCGACATGAAGTTATGTAATAAGGATATACTGCAACAGTTCTTTGCAAACCCATTTATTCATAAGTTTATCGATCTGTTATAAAAGAGTTTGAGCTTTACAAAACTGCAAATAATGAATTGAACGGCTTTACAGGATCCTATTTGAAAGAGCTTTTTTACAGGGCGAGATCAATTATATGCATTGCATTACAAAACATGCAATAGGTCATTTAAGAGGAACAGAGGACGTATAAAGCAATCCCTTCTATAATAAACCAATAATACTGTTTTCAATTTCTTTTAAATATCCGCACTTTCTAAAGAAGGTCTAGGTTTTGTCATATCCGTCTATCCTGACGTCATTCTCGTATCATCACTTCTGTTTATCAACTGCTTTTAGTTATGCATTTGACAGTATCCCAGTGAACGTAAAAAATATTTGCATATTCTGTCACGTTCGGATGTTTTACTGACTAAAGATTATAAGGGCCAGCTAACAACGTAGACCTCTAATGTATTGTATGGCAATCGAGATGAGTTTAGCTTTGTTTTAGTCTGTCGTCATTTTTTCTATATATTAATATCCCATTGTGACCGGGATAAGGTATTAACAACTTTCAACTTTTTTCCCAACCAAAGAGCATGCCCCGTGTATGATCTATTTTTAAACCAAGACACGCTACTGGCAGATACTAGTAAGTTGATGCTACGGGGATTTTATCAACCGCGTTTATAGTCGATATATCGTAATTACTATGGTCGTTATAATGACCTTGTTATCATACATAACCCATCATTGGGTCATATTTTGCTGACTTGTTTCATGTCAGTTCTTAGGCCTTTGTTTTTATACCAAATTTACCTACGGATTAATTCTCCGTCTACCCGACAAATAAATACGGCTAACGGCCGGTGTGTCCAGTTTACAGGGGACGTTCACTCCCAAGCATTTAATTTCACCATTTGTAATTTCTGGGGGTCCATGTTTTATGCCCGGTTTTGTTTGTTATTTTCTTTACGATTGTTCACCTTTCGTTTTCTTAACGTTTCTCAATCTTCTCTTAAAATTTTACAGTAAGTAATTCGCTACGGGTAAAACAGTTATCTGATAATGGAAGTTTGTAACTAATCTGAATTCTCCTGACCTTTTAAATTTTCAAGTTGCTAAACCAATCTTACCAATGCCAAACCTTACATAGTTATTTTCATCAGACACCTAGGCAAATAATTAACGTATGATTCTAATTCTTGGCAAAATTATTCGAGTATAACCTGGTTTGGGTCAGTTTTTGCTATATAATCCCCGGTTAAAGGTTCATAAATACTTGATGCACCAAGTGTGAAAAAGCGTAAACTGACCTAAACCAGGTTATAACCGAATAATTTGGCCAAGAATTAGAGTCATTCCGTATAATTTAATTTTAAAACAATTGATGTAAAATTGCTTTTCTCTTTATAAGTTCAAATTTGCCGTTCAATAACACAACCATAGTACAGAATTTTCCATGAATTCCGAGGACTTGAAATGAAAGAAATGCGAGAATTGCGTAAAGATGATTCATCCGGTTGTCAATGGAGCGTGTTCCCATACCAAACCAGTTTATAGTTATACAGAAATAATTTGCGTTCCTTTTGGATATTAACCAACGAGAGGCTAGAATAAAAACAAAATTAAATTATTCACTAATATGGCCATTTATTTACGAAATAAAATACTATTCTAAGAGTTTCATTGGGGTATGACATGAAGTCGGTCACGTGATCAAATTCTATAACGCCCGAATTAAGGGAGTTATAGTAGATTTAATTACATACCGACTTTATTTCATACATGTACCCAATGAAACTCTAAAAATGATATTTTATTTCTTATATTCATATTTGACGTTTTAGTCGTATGACAAAGAAACATTAGTTAGACTTTATTTTGGAAATGCAACATAACGTATCTACGACGTCATGTGACATCACAATCGGAACTTTCCAAATGGCTCCTGCAGTTTGTTTTTCATATTAAAGAAAGTCTGATTATGTGACCAACTGCATGTCATTAAAAATTGAATTTCAATTTTATTAGCATTGTTATATAAGGAAAGACATCAGCAAATGTAAATATTAATATACGGTTCGAAGATTATACTGTAACAGGAAAGGAGAAAATGTATGGCTGGACCGGGAATCGAACCCGGGACCCCTGCACCTCCAGTCAGGTGCTCTTTTAACTGAGCTATCCAGGTCGATATCCACGGCCCAAACCATTACATTCCTCCCTCCTTAATGGTCTCCGCCCTCGGAGACATAACCCAAGTTCTTGTTAGCCCCTGGCAGGACTTTCACCTGCAATTCCAGGGGTGGTCAACGGCACCAAATCTGTTACAGGAAAGATGAAAATGTATGGCTGGACCGGGAATCGAACCCGGGATCCCTGCATCTCCTGTCAGGTTTTCTACTAACTGAGCTATCCAGGCCGATGTCCACGGCCTAAACCATTACAATACATTGCAGGTTCCAGAGCTCTTGCGGCTTAACTTCTGGTTTTCTTTTTTTTTCATCTAAACTTCCTTGTTTTTTTTTTTTGTTCGCCGAATGAACCAGCCTTTTGAGTGTTGCTTTACAAATGAAAATAGTTTGACAATAATCATGGTGAAAGAGGAAACATTATAGAACTCTTTCCTCCCATTACAAAATTCGGGTGTCTAAAAGCAATACTTTTAGAACCTTTATTATTTTCATTGCAACGAGAATCACTTCGCTTCACTTTTTAATGTAAATAACACCACAACAAATTTAATAGCAATTCTTATAATATGCAACTAAAGTATAATACATGTATATTGAATAAAATGCAGATTATATTGATGTAAGCAGCATTGGCTGATACCTTCAGGCTACTTCTCCAAACCACTTTTTCACCATATTAATTCCTCGAGCTACAACGCCTTCATTTCTTCCCTTCACCTGACGACGCGTCTTGATTTTACGTCTTCCTCGAAACTCTTTACCAACTGCACTAGTGATGTCACTACGAGTGCTGCGAAAATGTTGATCCAAATCGTGAAAATCCTTATCAACCAATGCCATCCTCTTCATTTCTTGGAGCATATTGATCCTCTTTGTATACCCTGGCTGTCTCTCCGACTCTTCTGCTTGGATCATCAGATCTATGTGCTCAACTGTAGTAAGCGCCTCCGGCCTTAATGCGATCTCTCTCAGTCTGGTCTTACAGCGATTCATCTCATTCATCATATCCATGATGTTGTCCATTAGCTCGTCAACGTCCATCGTCAATTCTTTTATATACTTCTCATGCGTTAGCTTTTCACCGATTGCTTTCTCGTACCGATCTTTCATTTCTTGGTAGGTTTTAGTAACCGTTTCGGTTACGTATGAAAATATGTATGGGGTGTTTTTGTGTTGATCCCAGTAGCAATGATCAAAGCAGACTCTGCAATAGCCATCCGTCATTGAAGAACATTTCCTCTTCTGGTCATCATCTCTAATATGACAGTCTTCATGACAGGTCACGTTACACTGTAGGCAGTTGGTAACAGCCTGACCTCTAGGCAAATCTTTCTGGATCTGTCTAGTCTCCTCCACTTCATAGGTAAAATCTTTATTGCTTTCAATATCATTTTTGTGCCGGTTGAATAGATCCAGCTGTTCCCTTAACTCGCTTAATTTTGATAAGCCTGCTGTTATCTGGGGTCTGATGCTGCAAATGATTGTTTTCAACTGTTCTCTTTCATGCAAGACATCTTGTGTCTGTGACAAGCTTCTTGTCTCGAATCTCCTCATATGTCTGAAAAAAGCTTCGAAGCTTTTGCAGCCCATTTCCCAGAAAAACGGGGACAAAGAGCTGCTTTGAAGATTTTTGTTTGGGGCAAACAGTGCTGAATTGTTGAATTGAAATGTATTTCCAAAAGGAAGATTGGCTTCTTTAAGACAAGCCAAAACAGGCGGGTCTGCTCCATCAGCAAAAGTTATCAACGTACAAATGTTTGATTCTATGTCTTTTCCAAATAGGGACATGATTGCATGGAATATGTATTTCTGAACAGGAGTAAGGCGAGCATCGGGTGCCTTCACAATGAAACAAACAGAATCCAGGAAAAGGACCCCTTCTTCTCCCTTTGCAGAGAAAAGATATCGGACTTGGTCAACAATGGCGTTGTCTCTCTCTGGTCCCCTAGTGTCTCCAAAGCCAGGGGTATCTATGATATTGAGGGTATAGTCCAGTCTTCCTCCTCTTTGAGGAAAGATTTTATAAACAGTTATCCATTCTGTCTGAGAAACTGCCTATAAAATTAGAGTGGTTTTGAATAGAAATTAAAGTTTATCTTTAATCTTTAGTGGCAAATATAACTTGAATGGACTTTGATCATATAGCCTAATATTTTTGTTAAATATAAAAAAAAATTACTTGATTTCCGGTTTTGCGTCGCTCTTCGTCCTCTAGTTTCACAAGAGTAAATCGGAAAGGATCTTCGAAGCTCACACCCATCACATAGTTAACGATTCCATCCACCAGTGTGCTCTTGCCTGACCCAGTGGATCCTACTAACATAATGGTTTTCTCAACTTCACGATTTCCTCTGTTTGTCATGTCACCTTCATTAAAAATATTTAAGAAAGTTTAACACTCTCTAATGACACGCAAATTTATAAAAATTAAATTCGAGAATTATTGAGACAAAAAATATTTTGTGGTTTACTAGTACCTAAGCATATTTGACGTATCTTGTAGTGCTGATTTCTTGCTCTAGAATTTTCAGTAAATGGCAGTTCAAACTTGGAAGGATTCCCTTTGCTAAGCTGAACTGAGTAAGACAGAAAATAAGAGGCTAGAGATGCCTGTGTTCTTATTTCGTCATTAGCCTGGCTGTATGAACCTTCAATGTCCCCTTTCACTCCTCGGACTTGGAAAATGTATGTTGTATCAGCCATTAGACCTTCTAGGGTAATTTCATTTTTATTATCGTCAGTTTGGATTATTTTCCAGTTTTCCTTTCCAGATTTACTTTTATATCGTATTTGATAGCTGTCCACTCCATCGCATCTCCGCCAGTGCAGTTTGACAGAATCTGATTTTACAGCATCGGGCATTGGTTTACCAGGCATCTTAAAAATATTTGAAAAAACAAGACATTATTGTTATTAGTAAAGGTTTTAGATCATCTGTATGTGAAGTTGTTTCTGTGCGTTTTGTATACAAATGTACAAAAACATTTTGTGATTGTGTTACCGGTATAAAACGGGAAAGAAACTTAAAATTTTGATGTTTAACATTCACAAGAGATAAGACAGTTGCGTACTCTCAACTTTCAAATGAAATTAAGAATCAGTACATCAAAATCACCGATTTTATATAACCTTTTTAACGCAATTTATAATGTAGATATTAACTTACGTCATCCTGTTTTTCAGCTTGTCTTTTGGATAAAACAGTTCCGCTTTTCAGATAAAAAAAAATAATTTAATTTTGATAATATTGTCGATGATATGGATAGTAAAGTTAGTTTGCTATTTGTTTCATCACAACATACCTAATTTCTTGTCTTGAAGACATCGCTCCTTGTCGGGTCCGAAATTGTAGCATACCTTTTGACAGCTTATGACCTCGACCAATTTTTTGTCTCAGGTGTTGTTGCGCACAAGGTGTACACATTGGCTCTGGTTCTGCACAATCAAGACAAAACTGAGTTGCAGAAACCGTCATATTTTCAAACTGACAAGGTTCACATTGAAAGCCAGATGAAATTTCTGGCACTGCTGCTCTAGCCTGGATGCCATTTCCTACGTGGGATCTCGCTGGATTACAAGTGTTATTTACAGCTGCTTGCGGTGAAAGAGTTAGAATTTGTTTACGCCTACAAAGACAAAATGACTTTTTTCAGGTTTTTAAAAACACTTCTTTTAATCATGCTTATTGATGCTTTCATATTATCATAGCATTTCTAAAACGTTTCAATAAATCAGTCTTACGTCCTTATAAGAAGTTTTAGATCTTGTGATATTCTGTGATTTTGGAATTTTCTGGATGCTGTGTGACGCTTGCAGCATTTGTTGCAAAGAACTTCCGGGTCATCGCAATCTGTACAATATCCAAAACCAGGAACACCTTCATCTTCGCAGAGCTCACAGAGGACGCTAACGTCATCAGAAACGTCATCTTCTAACTTGATTACGTCATGTCCTTTTGTTGCCCTTTGCTTTTGATGTCTTTTAGTACATGCAATGCATAACTTTTCGTTGCAATCGGGTTCCTTGCACACCATAATTGCCTCTGCCTCATCTCCAATCTCTGAACATATTGTGCACATTACTTTTTGATCTCCCTAAAAGAATCAGTTAAAATGTGGGTGTGGTTTTAAAACAAAGGGATATATTTTGCAAGACCAGGGTAAAACATTCATACGTCTACGATTTTAGTTTGGAAAAAAGTTAAGTTTATTGAGAGAAAATTCCTATATATAGTTTACTCTGTTTCTACCTACATTGAGGGTCGTCCTTCTTAACATTGCATGACTGACAACACAAGTACAATGTAACAATTCAAATACTCTCAAATAGAAATAAACACATGAAAATCCTACCTTTGTTTTTCCAACTTTCCCACTGAAATAAAAGTTTTTTTTTATTAGATATTCACACAGATTTATATGTTTGATTTGAAATATTTAATCGTTAAGACAGAAATGTACGTCTTAAAAAATACCTCTTCTTGGTACCTTTAACATCGCCATCATTACTCCACAAAGAAACATTTCCTCTGAATTCGTCGGAATCTTTGACATCATTAACTGCTGTTGCCATGCTCTCGCTCTAGTCAACTAAAATTATAACTAGGAATTCTAGTCATGAAGTTACCACTAATCAGTAAAAAAAATAGATATATAGAGTTTCCAAAAAAGTACTAAATGATTATTTAAATATTTACATTTCCAATGTTTTGTTTGAGATAAAACTACAAATAGTTAATGTACTTTATTTCTCCATTAATGCACTGGTTCATCGATAGGGGCGGTTAAAAAAAATCACGTGCAGAGCGGGACAAATAGAGACAAGAAGTGGGGCTTCTACCACGTGGATTGGCGGAACCAATACCATGTAAATATAAGGAATAACTGTCTTATTTTATGATTTCATGACGATGATAAACCGATTGGCTTGCATTATAATTTTATGCATAAACGCCTTCGGCTTTTATGCAAATTATCACGCAAGCCAATCGATTGATCACATAATGAAATCATAAAATAAGACAGCTATTCCTTAAATATTTTTCTGCTTGATTTAATTAAAACAGTAACAATATGGCCAAATTTTCTGAGATCTAAATATGAGTGCTAATAATTGAATGATTTGGTGGAATAGAAAAGCAGTCATAATAAAACCAAACTAAATGATTTTTGTAGCTTTCATCTAGCTGTTTATGATTTAAAATTGTAAACACTATTCTTGTATTGGTGATGAAATGTTTGAATCATGTACAATTTATCCACTGACTGAACTATATCGATTTTTTTTTTACATGTGTCATTGATTCCCACGTCTGCGGTCCAGGTTATGCTATGTGACAGTACAACTGTTGTTCTACAACCAAGCAGAATGGGTTGCTCCTAACTACTAACACATGCCTTAAATAGGATTTTGTTACAATCTGTACAATCTTGGGTTGTTGTTTTCTTCAAATGGACTTTTTAACAAACATGTAAAATTAACAGCAGAAAAAACACTACAATTATATAATGCATTCATGAGTAATGTTCAAAAATTGTCTCTAGACTGTAAAACAGTGTGTGAACTTTTTAACGTTGCATGTGTTTCAAAAATGAATTATGGGGCAGAAGTGTGGGGATTTATACCAGCAAAAGAATTAGAAAGAATACAATTAAAATTTGGTAAAAGACTACTGGGAGTTAAAACTTCGACATGTACCCCGGCTGTTTATGGTGAATTAGGAAGAAAACCGTTAATACTAACGAGAACATTTCGCATTATTAAATATTGGTTTAAAATTCTCAGATCAGAAAACTGTCTAATAAGATCAATTTATAACTAGTGCTAATTGTAACGGGAACCGTTACAGATGTTCCCCAAACGCTCCCCAACTTCATTTCGGTGCTTCATTCCCTCTAAGCTTCATCAAATAAACTAAACTCATTGCATCTTAAACAACGTTTTACCTAAAGTATACCAAGTACATGTATATAGCAAATTTTTGCATTGCACGTGCGCACACTTGCATGCATATGCGGAATGACCATATCATTGTATCTACACTAGTAATTTATTTAAATGTACTTTATATCAAGGCATTCAAAAAGTATTCGAAAATACGCTAAATCAAGTGCGTTTGTAATTATATGTATTGCACGTGCATGCATGTGCATGATGATCATAACCTCTTGTAGGGGTCCATTAAGACTATCTATGTTCTAAATCCCATCCTGCTTGGCTGAAAACCAAGGGAGTTATAGCCATTTAAATGTTTAGCCAATCAGATTGCAGCGCACGTGCATGCGCGTGATTTCATGAAAATTATTTTATACCATATCGTAGGATATCATAATGCATGACTATGTTGTAAATTTCAAAGTATTTCGTCAAAAAATGAATAAAATATTGAGATTTTTGTTTCAGCCAATCAGAGCGAAGCGCACGTGCATGCGCGTGAGTTCATGATAATTTGACCATGTCCTCCTGTCTATAATACTAATATATTTTTATATTCTGAGTTTCAACACACCTCATCAGAAAATAGAAAAGTTACGGCTATATCAATTATATTCGTCAATTTACATGTTGCACGTGCGCGCTCTTGCAAGCACGTGCGCGCAAAATGACCTTGATTCCGCAAATCTACATAATATGTCTACTTACCCTAAAAAGGTTTTACCTACATGAGATGATTAGTTTACAAGATCATTCGCGGACAAATAAGTACCCAGGAAGAAGAAAAATAATAATAAGAAACAGAGTAAAAACAATATGTTCCCCAACTTCGTTTGGGGAACATAATTATGATTTTAAGAATATGGCTACAAACTGGATTATTTTTGTAAGAAAGACACTTTTGTCTCATGGCTTTGGAGATGTGTGGTATTTCCCTGAGTCTGTAAATGAAAATGTTTTTTATATGTATTTTGAACAAAGACAAACTGATTGTTTTTTCCAAAAACTTACACATAGAAAACGCTCATCCTCTTAAATTGTTTAAATATCTAAACCCTTCTATACAACAGGCTGAATATCTTAATTGTATATAACACAGAAAAGCATTAACTAGACTCAGATTATCTTCTCATTGTCTACGCATATATTGAACCTGGTAGATATGATAAAAAATGTCCAACGAGTGAAAGGAAATGCATATTTTGTACATCGAACGAAATAGAAGACGAATATCATTTTGTTTTAATATGTAATTTTTATACTGAGTTAAGAGAAAAATATATTAAAAAATATTATTATGCAAGACCTAGTATGGTAAAATTTATTGAATTACTTAATTCCAATTCTGAAAGTATACTTAAAAAACTTGGGAAATTTGTGTATGAATGTTTTAAAAAGAGGGAAAATGCTACCATTCAGCAGCATTAATAATACAAAAGACACCTGCATTGCTACTCATTTTTTTTCTTTCTGTTTTCTATATATTTGTAATAGCACCTGTGTAACACCGGTTTACCAATGTATATATATAAAGTAATGTTATATGTGGCAATATATGTAATGTATAAGCCAATAAAGAAGATACTCTACTCTATGTAATCACGAACTGTAATGTTTTGTACATGATATGCCAATATCAAAGCATAACTTGTTTTTGGTATAAGTACATAATAGTATAAACCTTAGGAAAAAAATACCAAACCAGGTGAATTTTATTGGGAAAAGCAAAATATGGTAAAAATAAGCCTATGTGATTTGTCTAATTTTTTTCAATCAATTTGTTTTTCCAAATTAAATTCATCTGGCTTGGTATATTTTTCTAAAGTTTATATTACAAATTAGCATCAAACTAATAAATTCTGAATTTTGAAATATTCTGAATTTTGGATTCTGAAATTTGTTTTAAACCTTTACTGAGTGTGATTTGTCCATATGTGTAATTTTTTTGGAAGAATTAACTAATAGAAGTATTTTTCATTTTTCAAGTCTTAGGAGAAATAATTATAAGACTTTTAGTAAAACTCGTTTAGTACGAACACGAATTCATGGATATATAGCAGCTAAGTTACATACGTACAGTCATGTATCTTGGATCCCTAACTATATGAATTTAATGAATTTCTTACGGATTACGGATATAGCGAATTAATTTCATAGGTCCCTGTAACTTCGTTATAACTGAGTTTTACTGTATCCACTTTCCTAAACCTGAGAGATGACAATACTAAGTCTCCTCCAATCCTTAACAAAGAATTTTTGTCACAAACTCTCTTTTCTTCGTCTCCTTAACGTTTACGGTATCAAATCTATTTTCTCTTCAACATATTACTGTTGAAAAGTACCTGGAGTTAAATAAAGAAACGTACTCTAAACAATTATTATCCACTGTGACAAGCTATAAAATATGGCATAATCACATTTCAGACATTTATAAATCTAACAGTTTGAGAGTGTGACCCCAAAACCTCGAATTACAATGTACATATATATATGTCCTCATTTCACAGACACTTTATAATAGTTCAGAACACGAGTACTTAATTCTGACATTCTGTCTTACATATACTGGTCAGTCATTGTTGATGAACAAAATATTTTGTTGAATTTTTTAACGTATTTATGTTATAAATACTGATTTGAACAATTATATGTTCTACACTATGGCCTACGTGTGAGTTTCTGTTTTGTAGAGCTTTAAACATAAGGATGAAAGATTTACTGTGCAACAGAGGGATATATCGACCAAGTCTAGCTCTGTATGACATGCAAGATAAACAGCTGTGTATTTTTGTGTTAGGGTGTGGCCAGGGCCCTGGTTGTGCTGTTATGTATTATGAACAGTACTTAAAATTCATTTCCATTCATATATTTTATTAAAGATGTGTTCTGACATACCATATGATATACTCTTAAATCATTCGTAAACATACACTCAGAATACTAGTATCCTTATTTAAAATCTTGTTTTTTAAAAATATTCACCGTAAACCATGTTTATACTACATTAAGTGGCTATTTCTATCCGCATAGATTTTTTATTTATTTTTTTCTTTTGTGTATATATTTTTAGTTTTTTTTTACCACACTGAAAAAAAAATAACTAGTGAAAGTCACTGGGAAGACTAGTTTTACCAGGCATTGGGTAGATTTACTAGATAACATTAGTAAGTCTAAGAATTTCTAAGTAACTTTCACTAGGTATCTAAGTATCTTTACGACCACTACACCACGTTTCACTGTGTTAGCTAGTACACAAAGTGATTACTAATCACGAAGAACGCTTTACTAGGCACACTAGTTAAATCAACTAGGTATTTCTCTCAGTGCATGCATTGACCTTGATTTTGAAGTTTGAACCTCTTTTACTAAAAAAATCCCATTTTTATCAATTAAACCCAGTTTTTATGTTTGTACAGTTGGTGCTAGGGTTTTGTATATATTCATTGTGACAATTAATACCTTAATGTTTGTGTGTAAAAAGATTTACCATTTTGACCTTGACCATTGTGTTTGAGTCCTTTTTCAAAGACCTTAAACCTTTTGAACTGTAACCCTTCTCCTCTAAAATAGGAGTAACTCCACCCACCTCCTCTTTACGTGTACATGTAAATCACAAACAAATAATTGTACGGGTATGACAAATGCATGATGATCA